AGAAAAAAAAAATCATGAATCGATGCTCTTGCGGACGTGTCGATGCATCGGATCGTCGGCTTTTGGATCGATGGATTGATACAAAACGATTATTATTTATACCCCTAGTGGACGGTGGCTTCACTTTTTACGGGCAATCAGCAAACCAGTGAATAAATAGACATCAGTAGCCTTGGGTTAGACACTTGACCTGTATTGGCTCCTGATGGTGGTTAGAGGGCCTGCTGGGGCCAGAGTATGGCAGCCTGGTTCCTGGCTGTAAGGTAGCTGTCATTAGCTGTAAGGCTTAAACGGGCCTACCTACTGGCAGCCCAACCCTCAACAACTGGTAGAATATTATTAACAATATTTTTGTAATGGAAAGAAATACGTTCTCCATGAAACTACAGAAAACTAAATTAGAAGAAACTTGGGATTTATGGGGGAAAGAATTTGTGAAAGGGGCCCCTCCTTTATCTAATTTGGATCTTCCATTGTTTTTCTGCATTTTAAAATCGCTTTTCTCCTTTTCATGCGTGGTGTTCAATAAAGAGGATATGTGAAAAACATGTATAATGTTATAAGTAATTAATAACTTACTACAATGAAAGTAAGGAAGAAAGCGATCTGAGTTCCAACAGAACAGAGCTAAAGTGTCCTGTGATTATTATGGTCTGTTTGAGGAAAACTCCTGCAGGACCGAAGGGGAACCGTCCCGAACACCTTCCCTTCCCCTCCACCGAACCAGCGGGACTCAAAGCCTCTTTCCCTTTGGCCTTACCGGAAAGCTGACTGGACCAATCAGAAAGCCCGACACTGCGAGGTGCAGCCAATCAGCGTCGTCCGCGGACCTGCTCCCGTCTAGCATGTTTCTGCGCTTTTATGTAATGTGTGCCATGGTCCGGACCGAGCTGTGTTGACAATAGGCTGAGAAGAACCAGCCCTGATCCCAGAACCAGAGCTGATCCAGGCTGCAGGTCCGCCGGTTCCGGGGCTCCTCACCGTTACGCTGAGCCCCGCTAACGGGAGTTGAAGCTTTTCCCTTCGGATGGGAAGCTGTCTGCGGGTTTGGCTGCTTTAGGCCGAGCTCTGCCGCTGGGAGAGGCTGCTTTCATCGAGCTGGAGGCGGCCGCGCTAGCCTGACAGTTAACCCGCCAGAGGACGGGTCTCAGCCGCAGGGGGATCAGGGGACTGAGGGGATCAGGAAGAGGCTCCAGGTTCACGACTCGGATCGGTGTGTGTCTCTGTCTGGGTGAACCGAGGCTAACGTTAGCCCTGTATTTACATCCGGGATGATGGGTGATCGCCCCAGCCCACCCAGGTAACGTTACCCCACCGACACTCACTCCACCCAGATGTGGTCCAGATGCGGTTTCATTCTGTTGATCCAGATGCGGTTCCCTCTGCAGACCAAGCTAGCTTCTCTAGTAGCTGTTAGCATCCGGCTACTCGCTCTGTTAGCCTAGCTGTTAGGCTAAGGCTAGCTTCTGACCTGAAAGGCGTTAATTTGCAGACTTTGGTGAACATCCTGCAGAAGCTGAAGGTGTCTGGGGTCTAAATGTATTTCTGCCGTCTGAAGATGCGGCTTCCAGCCTCTAATCGATGCCCTCCGTGGCTAATCTGGGAGCTAACCATGCTAACGGCAGGCTAACGCGCTGCCAGGGTCTGCCCGGCCCAGCAGGTCCCAGCTGGCGGCCCTCGGGCTGCCGTCCTGATCCAGATCCCAGTCCGTCCTTTGCTGTTCTGCTGGATCTTTGCTCTCAGGTCTGTGGAGGCTTCCTGTTCAAAGGTTCAAAGTGGTTCTGAAATCAGGCCGAACCTCCAGAACAGGTTCTCATGGACGTGGGAGGGGAGTCTGATTTTCAAAAATAAACTTGATCCTGATGAGAAATGAAAGGATGTTTAAATAGAGCTGAAGAAATTGAACGTTTTGGATCATTAGTGATTAATAACCTGGAGGGGAAACAGCTGGTAGGAGTGAAGGTAGAGCTGCTCTGCTCACAAATACAGACTAAAACCTCTAACTGATCAGCACGTCCACTTGAAGCTTAAGTTTTCCCACATTTCTGTAAAACATTGAAGTAATCCTTGCTGAACATTTTTTTTTATTTTGGACCTGAATGAACAGAACCTGGTTCCTGGGCTGAGGAAAACAGACCCACATATGATCCTGGAGCTTCTCTGTGAGCCTAGCAGGTTCTCCAGATGTTCTGTTTGGACCTCTGAGTAGCTCTATGCTCCAGAACCATCTGCTTGGTTCTGTGGGTTCTGTTTCTGTGCCTTTTTACCGGGTCGCTTCGGTTCTGCTGTTTGAGAAGGATGATGGAGGTTCTATTTGCAGGGCAGAACTTCCCTCTGAGGTCTGATGCCCAGAGCCTGTGACTGACTGGGCCAGGCCAGGCCCAATAGAATATCTGATGTAACGTTTCTATTAATCAGTTCTGGACTTTGTCCCGCCGTCGTTTATAGATGGACTTTGGACCCTGTGCTGAACCGTTTCATGTTCATTTCCCACTTTCCTTTATATTCTGGTTCTGACCCAAAGCCCCACTGTCCTCCAGCCGGGTCTCTGTATGACTAACGGACCCGTTACTGATCATCTGAAGGAGGAACTCTGTGGGTTCTGATTGCTGACCTTCTGACCCATACACGGTCGGGTCAGGTCTTCCTTTCCCTTCAGAGCTTTGGTCCAGTTCTTTCAGGGAGCCAAACCCCAGCTGCTGGGATGAGATCAGAACCATGTGGGTCTCACTGTCAAAGACGGAACCAGCAGTAGGTTTAGCTTCATTTTACTGATGGATCTTAGAAGTTCTCAGATGTTCCTAATCAGCAGCAGGGCAGCATTGTAGCGTAGATCTAGGAGAACCCTTAGCCCCACATGCTCAAAGGTT